AAAGTTTTAAGTGAGTTTCTATGTCCACAGGGAAAAAGAAAACACTGAGATTAAAGAATTAAAGATTAAAGAATCTGATAGGAACAGTTCTAGAAGCATCAAGAAAAAATTTGAGATCTTGTGGGCAAAGTGGAGAAGACCCGGAGCAGTCTTCTGGCTTTTGTTTTTTCTACATCGTGGAAATACATGTTTGTACATGTTTTTTAACCAACTTACATCACGGGTTCTTTTCCCAGTCTCCATACCTGAAGTACTGTACATTTTGATTTAATGAAAAGTCAATGGTTTCGCATTAATTTTGTGATTAAATAAAAGCCATGCAAGAAAGCGGTAAAGTTGTGATGAGGTAGCAAATAGAAACATGAAAGATAAAACAAATTCTCCCCCTAAAATTCGAATTGCTTGAAATTACCCTGTCAGAGATGCTGCCAGCATCCACACCTTTCCTGCAGGTTTTGGTTTCAGGGCACCATAATTGCAACACAGCTCCCCTGGCAGCTGGCATCCAGCTCTGTGAGGTTCACGTCTCATCTGCTTTTGTTGAATCAAGGGTGTGTGATATTGTGAAGGTGGTGTGAAAACTGGAGGAGGAAAAGCCCTTGAATGGGCAGCAAACCCATTCTTCCTTTGGAAAAAAACAAGTAAGTTAATAACAGAAGCCGTGTCTCTTACTGGATATAGCACTTGCTGCTGTGTTAAAATTTCCAGGTCACATGCTGAAGTTCTATAGCCATCATGTGCACTTGGCCATACAATATTTGATGGATATGACATTGATTTTACTGATCCCCCTGCTCTGGAGAGCAGGGTAAGTAGAGGGTGCAGCTGATTCTCTGCATCATTTGCTGGAGGGCAGCACTAATGAGAAACCCCTAATATGGTAAAAAAGGGCTTATAACTGAGGGGAAAAAAATCCAATGAATGTTTAAAAAGGAAGATTCAGCTCAGCTGTTCCCATAGGGAGTTTGCTGACCAGCTTTTTTCTTTTTGATATCACTGCAGATCAGCAGTTCACACTCTGTATTACAGACCTTTCTTCTAAAGCTTGCCAGCTCTCCCTTCCAATGATTTAACAGAACATTCTTGCTGTAGATATGCAGAGACGTGCTGAATTTGTGAGACCAGAGACTGGATTTTTACTGTTAGCAAGAGAGTATTTGTTTTTGATTCACAAGTATAATAATTTAACAAACAAGTAATCAGGGGAAATAGATTTCAACATTGTGTTTCATCAACAGACTGGCATGCAGTGTGGTATCTTTTAAAGTCAAATAATAATCTTCAATTTCTACAACACATAACATTCTTATAATAAAAAGAAGTTTCTTACAGGACAGTATATCAATAGATGACATATTTTTGTATCCCGCCTTCTAAAGCAGCCCCATTCAGAGCTGTGACTGAAGAAAGCCACAGAAAAACACAGCAGTGTCAAAGAATGTGGTCTGCACCACCCCATGGCAACATAGGAAATATGTTTTCTTTTAGGTTAGTGAGATATAATAACTTCTGTGATTAATAGGAATGTTGATTAAAATCAGATGACTCATTAATTTACCTTAATGACAGGGTATAGGTAGTACCTTTTAAATAAACAATTAAAAGGAAGAATAATATCAGAGATAATTATTTGAGAAATGTTGATAAACAACTGACCTTTCTGTACTATAAATGAAATTCAGCTAAGCATAATCTGTCTTTGTTACTGTAAAAGCTTTATAGACAGAAAAATTATAATTATGTACAGTAATTTTTTTAATAGCTGAAATAATTAGTAACAAAGAAAGAAAAAAAGGCAAAACCCCCCATCAATAGAAAAGCCATGTTGAAGGTGAGGTAATCCTCAGTCTCACATCTTTTGCCTGTGGAATACATGTGCATTTTTTTTTTTCTGCTAGACCAATAATCTGAGGAAAAAAAGTCAGGGCGAATTTAGTCCTGGAAAAGTGAAATTTAAAGCAATACCTGAAAAAGCTTTAGATAATATTCTCTAAGTTATCTTCTTGCTGAAGAAACCTAATTTATTTCTGTCTACCTCATTGTTTAATTAAAGGTATAAACTAAGCACAATTTAAGAACTATATAATATCAGTGAACATTATCTACATTTCATGTTTGTGTGTATTGATGCTGCAGGATTCCAAATAACAATTTGTGAATTAGACCTTGGACTGCCAGCCCAAGGAGGTGTTTTCTAGCTGTTATCAGCATTGTTTATTTGTGTTCAGGCGTCCTTTCATGTTACTGCTTAAAAGACACCCATTCACATACTTGAAAGCATAGGTATGTTTAAATATTTATGGAATGAGAGGAATTTTTGAAATCTTCCTCTAGAAAACTGTTAGTGGAAATTTGCATGTTGAAGTACACGTATGGTGAGTACAAGCAATTTTTGAACTCACAGAACAATTTAGACTCATAGAACAGCCCAGCTTGGGACAGCCCTCCAAACTGGCCCAGCCTTCTGTGGGAAAGGGAGCCTAGATGAGATTATTTAGTACTATGCCCAGTCACATCTTGAAAATCTCTGGTGACCCTACCGTGTCTCTGTGGAGTTAGTTCCCACTGTAAAAAAATTCTTTCTTTATTGAGATGAAACCTTTCCCAGTGTAATTTGTGTTCCTTGCCCTTTGTCTCCCCTCTACTCCACTCTGATGAGACACTACCTGGAATACTACATCCAGCTCTGGGGCCCACATCCCAGGAAGTCCATAGAATTGTTGAAGAAAGTTCAGAGGTGGCCACAAAGATGATTAGAGGGATGAAACACCTCTCCTCTGTAGAAAGGCTGAGAAAATTGTGATTGCTCAGAATGAAGAAAACTCTGGGGTGACCTTGTCACAGCATTTGAGTGCCTAAACAGGTGTTACAGGAGGGCTGGAGAGGAACTTTTCATAAGGGCATGTAGTGACAGGACAAGGGGTAAGTGCTTTAAACTAAAGGAGTGCAGGATTAGATTAGACAGTTGGAAGAAATTCTTCCCTGTGGGGGTGGTAAGGCACTGGAACAGGTTGCCCAGAGAAGCAGTGGATGCTCCATCCCTGGAAGGGTTCCAGGCCAGGCTGGATGGAGCTTTGAACAACCTGATCTAGTGGAAGCTATTTCTGCCCTGGCAGGGGGCTTGGAACTGGGTCATCTTCAAGGTCCCTTCCAACCTAAATCCTTCTATAATTCTATGATTCTATTATTCTGTGATTATGTCATTTCTGTTAAAGAAAGACATCTTCTTTGTAGCCATACATTAAGTGATGGAAAACTGTGGTGAGGTTGGAAAACAGTCAGTTAAATTCACCTGTTCAATGCCACACTGGGAGGGAATGTGCCAGAGGCATTCAAACCTTCAGGGATAGCTGTGAGCTTTTTGTGTTCTGTCAGTAAAGAGACTTGACCATGACTTTTAGATTACTAGCTCTCACTTTAAATGCAGAACCTGCTTTTAGCATCGACTGTTCCTATTTGTAATTTCCCTCATCTGTTCTGAAGCTCTTTGGGATTGTTTAAGCCTGCCAAGAACAGCATGGTCCCACTGATAAACTGGTTTTCCTCTGAAGCCTTTTGCCTCTCACTGTCTGCAAAACCTTTGAAATGGATGAGTTTTCACTGCACACTCCTGTTTTTCAAAGGAAGTTTCAGGGAAATTATTCTCAGTCCAATTTTTTTTTTTTAATTTTTGCTAATCCCACAAATATAATGTTTATTATGTATGTCTCTCACATGCAAAAAAATAATAGCTTTCTAAGCAGTAAAATTCTTGAAATAATCCAAAAATCTTCCTTTTTTCAAATAACACATGGATGGACAAAGAAGTTAAAGGGGATTTGATCTTTATTTGATAATAGTGTCCTTAGTGCTAAATCACACTGAGAAAGCAGGTAACATGTGATGGGTTCAAAGGGAAGAAAAATCAAACATCATCATCTAAAATAAAGGTAACAATATCTGGTGTGTTTTTTTCAGAACTACAGACACAGCTCACAGTTCTCCTTGTTTGTGCCAGACATTTTCATTAGGAAGAAGATGCATGTCATATAGCTTTGGTGCATGCTGATCAACTGGCATTGAACAGTAGTGTATCCTGCACCATTTGTTAAATCCCATCTTTAGTCCACAGAATTGCAACTCTTCATTACCTATATCCTTTTAGGAAGTGGGATTAAAATCAAGTTTCTTTGGGTGTTTCTTACACAGGATTTTTGCTTCCCAGTGACTTGCAGTTAGTTTAGTTTCTAAAATACTTTTTAATTTGAAAATCTGAAGGTCCTCTCTCAAACATTTCTTTTTTTATCGCATCTTTTCTGGGCCTATAGTTTGATGTCTCTGGAAAAACCAAAACAATTAAAAATTGTGTTTCATAACATTTCTTTGAGAAAACTCTTTCCAAGGGTATATTGGCAAGAAGACTGAGTTTCTTGCACTTCACACAAGATGGGGTTTTGGTTTTATCCTTCAAAGGCATATGGGACTCTATTTTCACAGAGATAACAGTCACTGCAGGGGACAGATTTTTCATAAGCATTCTGCATGCAGAAAACCCCTGATTTATATAGACAGATTTAATAAATCTGTTCAACTTGTGTGTTATGAACATTCCTAATATCTTGACCTGAAACGACTGAATCAAAGCATATGTCTAGACTGCAGGAAAACTACCTTCAGTCCTTGTCTATTAATCACCAGAGGTGAGGACCAGATGGAGTGGTGTGACTCTCTTTTGGCCCAGGTTTTCTTCCCATGGCTTTGAAATATGCATCTGAATCCAAGAGCAGTGTGTTTTGAGTGTTATTGTAGAGCAACAGCTCTCCTGAATTCGTGGAATTGTCGTGAACAGTCTTACCCTGTGTCTGATCTATGAAGAGTCACTTGAATACACTTCCTCTTGGTAGAAAGTGCCATCACAAGCTAAATAACCCTGCTTCTCTCTGCTGGAATCTGTCCTAGTACTTTGGGGCAAAGTATTGGCAGGTTGATGTGTTCTTGATTTTTCTTCTCTTTTTTGACAGCTCCTAGACTGTTTTGTCATCCCAGTGGTGATACTCCTCTCCTGGTTCTTCTTACTGGTACGATACAAGGCAGTGCATTTCATTGGGATTGTGGTCTGCATTCTGGGCATGGGCTGCATGGCAGGAGCAGATGTCCTCGTTGGGAGACAGCAAGGAGCAGGTAAGTAACAATGAATGGGTTGTATGGCCAAGCTCTGTTCAGGGAAACCATTGACCAGTGTGTGTCAGACCGGGGCCAGAAAAGGGGGAAATTTGGCAAGAAACTCTGTACCTTCATGGATCCAAAGCACTGTACCATTCAGAGTTTTCAGAAGGGCAAAAAGGGGTCAATGCTTACAAGTCATCAGTGCTGCAAACACATTTCTTGGGCCCTGTGTCTTACCAAACATGTCACCCTCTGTGAGCTGGGGGGACAAGCTAAATATTTGTAGTTTTCATTCTCTTTTGGCTTAGCTGTTGGACTGCAAACGTCAATATCTTCCTTTCCAAATTGGCTACATTTCTGAGTCATAAGCACCTCTCATGTCCATTGTGTGCTCTTACTTCTCAACTTTGCTTGTTTTTCTACAGAGGTGGGATCACTTGGTGGGTGCCAAAAGACACCAGTTGGGTGTCTATATACTACCAATTGAGTTTTGCAGACAGTCTCATACTAAAGCTTTGGGACTTGACTGTAACATTTTTAAAAAGAACTTCCTTATGTGTAAAATGTTCTTTTTTTGTGTGTGGCATCATATGAATAACGTGTGTATCTATTAATGCAGACTAGACAGAGTTAGATTTCATCGATCAACTTCCCCTGTCACATTGATTTCTCTAGTGCCAAGCCAAATGATGTGGGAAGGCTGGAAATTCTTTTCAAAGATTGTCAATTAGGCACAGTTTTCATTCTTAATTAAGAGCACTGAATTGTGAGCAGAGCATAATACACTGGGATTTAAAATTCTTGACTCAGCTTTCTGAATACAAATGCAAGTGCTGTAAAAGCTGCATTTGCCAGAATGCTGCTAAATAAAACAACGGAGTTTTTGACAGTGCTCGCCATATCTCCCTGCCCCTTTTATCTCTGTCCTAAATCCTGAAAGGAGACTTTTAGTTACTGGTCTCCTCCAGAAGTAGCCTTGCCCCAGCTAAAAAAGAAATAGTATACTCTGTACTATGTAATCAGCTAGCCAGAGCTGTATTGGGAATGGCTGATTTCTGAGGGATTGAGATTTCAAACCAGGGTTCCAGGAGAAACATCCTGTGTCCCAGCAGTCTAGAGAGTAGCAAGCTTGAGCGGGTGAGCTGTGGATCAGCAGGAGCATGTGGGGCAGTGGAAGCAGACAAGGAACAGACTGAAGAACGCTGACACTTTGCCATCCAACTGCAGTAATTAGATGTTATTTGCCATGTTCATTACTAAAGCATGGGTATAGCTGTTAAGTAAATTTGCCCAGAAAAATCTGTTAACATGCATTATTGCCTTTTAATTTGGACCTACACATGAAAAACTGTGTCCATGCTTATTGCTACGCAGAAAGACTGCAGCTTTTTTACTTGTTTTAGTGGAATAATGATGTTATTAATGATGCTGTCTTTAACAGAGTAAAATAGATCGTCTAGTTTAATTTGTTTGAAAGGCTAAAACTACACATTAAAAATTACAAATAAAAAGAATTAATGACAGGAAAAAAAGAACAAAATTTTTAAAACTCTTCATTAAGCAGTTGTACACCATTTATAGAATGTTTCCTAGGGCTGAACAAACTAAAGTAAGGAAGACACCTAAAGCAATGATGCTTTGTTAGTCCGCAGTAAATGTCTCTCTTTATCGTGCATTTTAGGGAACAAGAATTATTGATACCTGTGTGGCCCTGTTGACCACTGCTTACTGTATTAGAAGAGCCATAAGACTCTGCTAGGTACCCACAGCATAAGGCAATTTAATCTGCCAACTGTTACAGTAAGGGAACATGAATTTAAAATATATCACCGAGAGATTAATAGCTACTTTCCAAACTATCTGCGGGAATTAGGTATGATGTGCACACATGCTTTCAATTTTCAATTGTATCCTTATTGATATTTTGCACATTACTCAATGGGAAAACAATTACTCTTAAGCATTTAGAGCTCTATCATCTTACATGCCAAGTATACCTGAAAATAACATTATACTGAACTAATACCCATGAGTTACTTTCATACTTCATCTCCTGCCATACACAGGGGTCTAAACCACACAGGTCTAAATGTTTCATCCAGGTTTTTCAAAGCACTTCATAGCTTTAACTTAAAACAGTCTCTGAAAACCAGTCACATCAATCTTGCTAATACATTTATCAGTGTTCAATTTAAAATGGGACACACTGAGAGTGATTTTTAGGTATTGTGTTCATCGGTAACTACAATCAAAAGCAAAGAGAGACATCTCTTAATGGCAGGGGCTAGGGCAAAAATGTGACAAAGAGGCCTATTGGGAATGTGAAAAGAAATCATGTCAGAGCACAATTCACATTTAAAAGATTTATGTTACACTATAATGCTATAACTGGTTCTCAAAACACTAACTTCACTCTGGACTATATGACTTCTCCACAGAATATTAAATATGGTAACAATCATTAATGTAAAACTTGTTTTGCCTTGTGTGTCTTCTGAAGGATGACCATTACACCATTAAATTCGTCAAATACAACTTTATTATCCTAAAAGTCTTTAGAATGTCTCTAGTTAGTTGGCACATGTTTCCTTTGCAATGAAACCAGTAGATGCATGTGAATATTATATCTATGAAAATAAGTCTATAGGAATGTGTCAGTCTTGGGAGAAAGTTCCAAAGTCTCAGCCTCTTGAGGAAGCAAAGATAAGGCATTTGACAACTGGAATAGTAATTGCTAAGAAAGAAAGCAAAAACATATTTTACAACATTTTTACACGGGTATATAAAGTTTTCATGCACTAACTCCTTGGGTACCATGTATTACTCTAATCACTGCATCTCAAAAAGAAGTCATTACACATAGCCTGTGTAAGCTATGGAGAAAGGTGAGAAAGCTGTTCAGGGACAAAAAATGCATTCCGATGAAGAGACTGTAGCCAGCCTGGGACATTCCATCTCTCAGAAAAGGCAAGAAAGAGACAGACACTGTAAAGGTATATGAAGTCTTCAGTGATATGTAGGGGGTCATTACAGAGTGATTTTTAAATATTTCTCAGAATATTATGGGATGACTAATATGATTTTGAGCTATCCAGTTAAAAAGTTAAAGGTATCCAGTGAAAGTTAAAAGCATGAAGTACTTCTTAATAGTAAGCAAAAAATATACGGATTTTTCACAAATTGATGAATAATCCCTTCAGGTTTATTAAATTTGATGGTGTAATGCAACCTCTATCTCAGAAAATGCCTAATCTACTGAGAACTGGCTGATAAAAGTCCCTCTGTACTTCCCTATTTGTTTATGCTCTTTTCAGCCACTCTGTGCTGCTGAGTACCAGAGGAGGTTCCAGTGTCAGAGTCTGGTGCTCTGAACAGATCTCGGCTCCCTCTTCTGGGAAAGCCCTGAAGGCTGAGGCTTACACTCAGCATGAGAGCACTTTGGGAAGAGCTATCAGGGTGTGATGCTTGAGGCCATCCCATCTGTGTGAAAATGCTCAGCCTCTGAGCTGCTTTTGTTTCACAGATGCAAAGGGATGATATTTTTGTCCCAGCAGAAGCTCTAAGATCAAAAGCTTTTTCAGCAATACTTCCCTGAAGTGTCAGTGAGTAGCTGCAATAAATACCAAATAAGTGAGCTCAGTGAGGAATCAATGGAGCCACTGTGAAATATGAAATGCATCAGGGGTATGAAGAAGTTTTGTAAAGTGCTGATGGTTATTTTAAATTAAGAACATCTTCCACTACTGATTGCAAAAGAAGACTAAAATAAGAAAAAAACCAATCAAAATGCCAACAACAAAACAACCAAGTTATAAAATGATAAATGGTCAAATATAAACATGTTGCCAGTCAAGGAACATTCAAAACAGAAAGGCTGGATGAGTATGTGAAAAACAAATCTAGTAATGCTTACTAAATACACAGAAGCCACATCTCATCTGAGCTGAAAAATGTTGGAAGCTTTGTTGGAAACTTAGTTGGAAACAAAGAGAGTATTACTGGGAATATTTTACACTTTACTCCATTCCTATTGTCCTTAAACAACTTACACTTTTCTGGTGCTTATAGCCAGTGTTGGAGACAGGATTAATGAGCTCTTGGTCTGTCCTCTTATGACTGATTTTATTATCATAAATTTCTTCTCCATAGAAATTTCAGCACTACAGCTTGGAATGATAACTGAAGGCTTAAAAGAGCTCCTTAAAGAAAAACATTGAAAAGATAATTTTGAACCAATCAGAATGTTTGGTTTCCATTTTTATTACTGCAGTGTATATTTTATGAATCAATTGAAATAAAACTTTAAAAGGCAGGGACATAAAAAATAAACCATGGTCTTTTAAAAGAAAACGAGGTTTCTTCCTTAAAAAATGCAGTTTAGTACTTCAGCATTTCTGCTGAAACTTTTCAAAGAAAAAGCCATTATATCCAGCCTTTCAGAATACGGTTCTGCAGCAATATCTGACAGCTTTGTGAAGCTATAGCTCTTGTAGAAATAATTTAACAAGCCATATGTGCAGAGGGAATTGCATACACCAGTTTGCAAAGATGGGTCCTCAGTTTTCAAGCTGGAACTTGATCTTGATCAAATGTCACTGCAGCTCTCCCCGGCACCCAATAATAAAATCTTCTAAGACTTAAAAAGATTTCAAGCAGTCTTTGATAACAAAGTGTTTTAGTAATTCTGTATACCTGGAGGTATTGAAAATACATCTTGTTATTATTTGCGTGCATTAGGTACTGCTATATTAATTGAACCTCTTTTAAAAATCTGTCATTATCACCACCCTGTCTACACCCCATCTTTCCTCTTCCCTTTCTTGTCAAACAGCTCCATGTGAAAATGAGGTCAATATTAGGTTGTAATGATTTCTTCACTCATTTCACAGGTACACAGAATTTTTCAGTTGTCCTCAGATCTAAGTACTGAACAGTTTTAGACTAGTTAAATTTCAAGATGAGATGCAAACTGCTCTATAGAGCTGTGTCACATTCTCTCCGCAATGAAAAAAATAGGTAGTAATAATAAAGTAAAAAGGATCAGTCTCTGAAGAGTGTCATTTGGATTCTATAGTTTTTTTTGCAAGTTTTTCAGAATTTCTTGGCTTCTTTTTTCTACAGCAAGGAATATGCTCTCCCTTTGTCTCTGCTAGGCTTAGCTGGTGTATTGAATGAAAACTGTTAAAATGACAGAATATTTGCATTCATTTTATTAAACCAGATAAGGGCTACATAGTGGCTGTGGAATTAAATCTGTAGGGAAGAAGATGCAATGGCTTTGGACAAAAGATGGTTGTTTGGAGGCATTCTGATTTTTTTTCTATTTATCCCTAGGTGAAAATAAACTGATAGGGGACCTCTTAGTACTTGGTGGAGCAACACTGTATGGCATCTCGAACGTCTGTGAGGAGTACATCGTCCGAAATCTGAGTCGAGTGGAATTCCTGGGCATGATCGGGCTCTTTGGCTCCTTCTTCAGTGGAATTCAGCTGTAAGTGGGCAGGTTTGAGCCCACTAAGGCTCAAATAAATGCAGCTGTGGCCTCCATTGAGATACACTAACCACTTCTTCAAAATTAGCCCTTTCCTGTGGAGAGCAGGTGTCCTCAAATCTTGGAATTTTCATTGGTTTTCAAATTTCAAATTGGTGATTTGAATAACAACACAAAATTTTACCCAAGTACTCTAATTCAAGGGCCAGTGTCCTTGAGTAGTCAGTCACATGAAGAGAGAGAAGACACGTCCCATCATCTTGCTGCTGGAAGACAAGTGGCTAATTCATGTGTTAGTCTGAACTGTGAATAACAAAATCTGCAGCTTCTTCTGGTTCTGTTTCATACTTTTGAAAAGTCACTTTGATTTCTAAAGAGGTAGAAAACACATCCAGTCAGAAGGTATTTTACTGGTTTGCTTGTTCTGTGTAACTACATTATGGTATGGCAGAAATCATGAAAAAGCCTTTAAAAAATGGCCTTTTCACTTCAAAAATATTTAGCACATAGGAGATTGTTGCATGGATTTCAAGATCTGTAGAGTCTGGTCTATATCCACATGTACCTAATGAACATCTCAACTGCAAGCCTAACAGTTGGAAGGTGGCTTCCAATGTTGCAGTGCTGTGATTGATGTAAAAGTAGCTCTGCAAGATTGCTGCATTTTGTGCAGGTCTGTCACTGGTGCATGTAACACAGAATGACTTTTGATTATTAGTCCAAAACAAGTTGCTTCTCTACAGATCTAAGCTACTCTGCTTCTAAGAACAGAGACTGAGCAAAAAACCACAGCCCATCAATTCCTACTTCAATAGTTCTATTTTTTTTAGCTAGAAAGCTTAATATATTATTATATTTATTTGGGATCTGAACAAGTGTCTTAAAATTATTTATATTAACTAGCTGCCATACAAGAAATTTGCTTTTAAAAAATATGGAATTTAAGAGACTGTAAATGTGCCTAGTAACTTTGTCTAAAGCATTTTTTAAATATGTTTTTGATTAAGTAGATACTAACATTCTGAGGACATCAAAGCAGTGCCCTTGTCTTGTTCTGTGTGTGTAAACTGTCATGTAAATGTCTCATATTCCAGAATTCAGTCGTAGTGCCATTAATCCCTCTTGACCCAAGCAGTTAGCCACAATTCAGGGTCTGTGAGCTGTTCTGCTGGTGAGAGTCTGGTTTTGGAGTAGGCATCTTTGTATAAAGAAGAGAGAACTGGAAGGAAACAATAAGAAACCATCTCTTTTCTGAAAGTCTTAATGTTTTTCTATTCAAACTTTGGCCCAAAAGTTCATTCCAACAGTTTTTTCTCCACCAGCCTCTGCAGCTTTTTGCTGATGGTGCTTTTTGGGCACCTTCTGGAGATCCAACCACACCTAGTTCATACCTGTGCCTTTTTCTTATCTTTACCTGTAATGAATAGCAGAAGTCACAGTTATGTGTTCACAGAGATGTAATCTAATTAAATATAACACCTACTTCAAAGAAAAGCCAGTTCCTTATGTTAAATTTGCAGGCTCTTTCTTTCTTCGAAAAACTACTGCCACTTTGGTGCAATATAGGACCTTTAGATTCTCTAAACTGAAGGAGTCTTAGACTGTAACATAAAATAAACACACATAATGCATGTTGTACAGCAAAGGAAGAAGAACTAAGGTGTCAGGGGAAACACTGAATTAATGAGTTGGCTGATTACCCAGACATGTGGAAAGAGAAGTTTAATATGTTGAATATCATTAAATAAGGGAGGAAGAATAAGATATTAGTTTACAAGAGTTCGGGATGTCACAATTACCCAGCAAAAGGAGACAAGGTTATCTGATGGAATCACATAATCATAACATGGCCTATTTTCTAATGGCCCCCTGAAGGTCATCTGGTTCAAGCTCCTTCTCAAAGCTGCTTCAAAGTTACATCAGGTTGCTTAGGAATTTGTTCAGTTCATTTCTTGGCATCTCCAAGAATGGAACTGCCAGTCATGCTGGGCAACCTGTTCCAGTGTTTGACAGTTTTTTCCCCTTGATATTTAATTAGTCTTCCATGTTGCAGCTTGTATCCATTATCATTCACCCTTTTGTTGTTCACCTCCAAGTAAAGTATGACTATCTATCTGTAACTACCCACCAAATCATTAAGGTGGAAAATCTATTGTTCTGTCCTCCTTTCCTCCAGCTTAGCCTTCTCTTCTTCACACTAAGCAGACCCTCCTGGTTCAGCATCTCCTCTTACATCCTGTCCTCAACCTGCCTGACCTGTGATGGAGCTCCACTGGACTCCCTTCAATTTGTTATTGTCTGTCTTGTTCTGGACAGCCCACAATTGGGTACAGTACTCTAGTTGCTGTCTCACAAATCACATCCTTCAGCTTTCTGGCCAGACTTTTCCTAATACAGCTCAGGATGCTGTTGCCCTCCTCTGCTCCAGGGACACATTGCTGACTTGTGTTCAGGTTGATGTCCACCAAGACTCTAAGGTTTATTGCTGGAAAACAACTTTCTATCCAGTCAGCTCCCAGCCTGTACTGTTTCATAGTGTCACTCCACCGCGGGTGCAGGAGTTAATACTTGCTTTTCTTGAACTTCATGAGGTTTCTTCTCACCCTTTTCTTTAGACAACATTGCAGATAGTCCACCCAGCTACTCCATACTTCTTGAGTCTCTAAAGATCTTTAAGGAAATCATGTTGGAAATCTTGCTAAAGTAAAAGTAGGTTGCACCACATCCTTAATCCATTCCCTCTCCCTTATTTACTGATCCAGTCACCTCATAGTAGGCTGTCAGTTGGGTCAGATTTGCTCTTGAGAGCACTGTGCTGGCTGTTCCCAGTGGCATTGTCTTCTTCATTTCCTACGAATGGCTTCTGAGTAGATTTGTTCCATAATCTTCCAAAGGTTAGCATAAGGCTGGCCAGGCTATTCTTTTTGTTCTGTGTTAAACTGAATGTTGTTCAGTCATCAGGGACCTCCTCCAACTACCACAACCTTTCAAAATCATTATGATTCCAATTTTTCAGTGCCTCTGGCATCTCTAAATTGCCACTTCTGGCCAAGTTTCTCTCACCCCTCTATGTTTCACAGATCATAAGGAATCACAAGCTGTATCATATTGTTTTATACATCTTTTGTATTGGCTAAGCAATAATATGAACACAATGTTCCTATATTTAAGTTATGTGATTTTTTTTTCCAGTCCAAGAGTTGTTGCAGTTTGTTTTCATTATGTTCTACAGGAATTACTCATAAAAGATACATATATCTTATGCATGCAAAGACACCTATAAGAATTTAGTCTTACTACTCTGTACACAGTATTAGATTTTCCTCACATCAGCAGCAAGGAAATTAGAATTTCCAGGATGTAACTCTTTAGACTAGATTAATCTGGAAGGTGCTGAGCTCCTGTAGTTTTACTATTAGACTTGGTCTTCTACCTGCCACCTTTTCTACCAGGTACTTTGTTTTCCAATCTGTATAATTCCATGTTTTATATTTTAAAATAGTGTCCTGACCAGCATGCAGAGTTCTGCACAGCAGGATTTATCTGGAAATCACACAGATAGGGAAAGCAGTTGCCTGAGCGAAGACCTAGCTTGGGAGATATCTTATCTCCAAGATTATATTTGCCTGGATTGGGAAGGGCTGACTTGTTGCCACCTTAGAATTTTATGGATCTGTGACTTTGATGTTAATGTACAGTGCAAGATTTACAAGATACTGAGAGCGTACTTTTGCAGGTTTGCCCATCCTTTGCTTATTATCCTGACTTTCACTGCTGTGACTATTGGTTTCTCTCAGTATGTAACAAATCACAGTATGCTTCCCAAACCAGCCTGTGATATCTACTTATTTTACACTGCAGAGCTACTCTGAAAATAATTCTGTGAATAACTCAGATAGATATATTATTAATAATTAACATTCAAAAGCTTTCAGAATATTAAGTCAGAAAAGTACAAGAGGATTGAACATTAAGGAGAATGGGCATGTAGAGCAGGTATATACAGAGCTGGAAATAAACCAGGGGAAATTGTATGCTATCACATCTGATTACTACCCTGAAGATCTTTCAAATACACAGGCACGGGAATAATGCCAGAGTAGATTAGCAAACTCTTGATTGCATTTGGTTCCTACAGAGATTTTTTTTGTTATAAGGTTATTTATGTTGTTTCGTCCAGCATTTGAATTGAATGAGTGGAAATAATTTAACTTCGGTTCTCTTCCATCAAATTTTGCCTTCTCTTCTCTTCTAGTGCAATCATGGAACACAAAGAGCTGTTGAAAGTCCCCTGGGACTGGCAAATAGGTAAGAACACACTTTACCTCATTGAAGATGGTTGCTGAAGGAGGCGTGGAGACATCCAGTGTTTGGGGAGGCAGGCACAGAGTTTCAGGGAAGCCAATGTTTGTGACTTTTCCACTGATTTCTACCAAGGGTTGAGCTACATTCCTCATGCCTTCTCTTAAATGATCTATCCTCCATAGCTGTGTTATGCCTTCCTTACATGATTAGGTTAAGTATATGAATGTTAGAAGGTAATCATTCAGACAACCATAAAGTAAAACAATAATGGGGTTCCAGTTCTTAGATTCAATGCAACACTGGGACAATAAATGAGGTAGTCATTAACAACCAAATATTTTCAATGAAAGCCAAAGAAAGAACCTTACAAAATAACCTAAAAAAGCACTTGCAGTTCATATTATAGCCTCATAAATTCACTTCCAGGGGGAGCATTTCTGTATGAAAATGTTTAATTGCTTTCCAAATAGTCTTGGTGGAATATACCAGATGTGTCCTTTAGACAAGTTTTGGGAGCATCGTGCCCAATGAAGCTGTAATGGTGTTCTGCCAAGCAGGGGATTACATTTTCCCATTTCAGTTTGGAAGCTGAGTTTATGACTCCCTTCTAATTAGTCCAATGAATTATTTGTTTTAGAAGCAAATCGATATTTAGGGGAGTCCCTACAATCAGTCTTTCACTTTTTATGACAATAGAGGAAATAATAGAATGCTAGTAACATAGAACTGATTGATTGCAGAGGATTCAAACTTTGGCAATCCATTGACAATAGCTCTTTACCTAGTTTCAGACTGAAGATCAAAATGACAGCTCAGGATTATGCAAAAACAGCTGATTATGTGGGGAATCACTGAGGAGAGGGGATACAAATTGTGGAATATGGTTGGTTTCTTTAAACTTGGTTCGCAATTTCCTTTCATTATCCTAAACCTTGATAAATACAGCGCATTTTTCACAAAACATTGTATCTAGAAATCTTGGAAATTTGATGGTTGAGCTGTAAAACTAAATGATAAATCCATTCAAAGTATTCATGGAGAAACACACTCAACTGTGTACTCTAAGTGTATTGGCCTTCTTTAATCTGAGATAATTAGCATAATTGCATCAGTGTTTGTTTATATTTCATGATAAGGAGCTTAGGGACATAATTAATCTGGTACTGATGGAAGTATCAGTGGTCATAGTGAATTAATCTACTATCCATGTAAATGTCATATATACTTCTGTGAGATTTCTGTTCAAACTCAGCATCGGTGAAACATGCTGTTAAAATAAGGTCTTACTTCATCTGTGATGCTGCCAAAATGCCCCTGAAAGTTGATTGCTAATTCTGAAGAGTCCGTATGCTTCACAAGGCTGAGATCATCTTAGCAAAATCATCATAGATATGTTTTGTCAGAGCAATAATTGGAAATGTGGTGTCATTGAACATGGATTAAATGGTGACAGTTCTGTAGTTCTTCCCTGATTTCCACTGCACCTGGTGTACTTTCCATTGCATTGGCAGCGATACAAGATTGTCAAAAAGTGATTGACAAATCTGTGTCAGGGAGTTCACAGCCTTGTCCTGGGTAGTTATCCACTGCGACAGACTCAGACCTGCAGTCCAGCAGAGTTAAATCATCAGCCTTCTGAATGGTGGTGATAAAGTCACAGCAGGAAACCTAATAAATTACTCGAGGTGGCCTGTTGCCATCTGCCATAATTGTGCTTTTAAGATCAAATGAGCTACCTTTTAACTGATGCAAATGATTTTTGAATATAAAGATCTAAAGCCAATCTGTTATGTCTATCATGTTTAAAACAGGCTGTGGCCCTCCTGGTGTTAATTTTGGAAATTGCCCTGATACATATCATCATCTTCACACTTAGTGTGAATCAGTGTAGCTCTATTTGAATATTTGAAGGTTTAAGTATTAATACTTGCTGACAACCAGACTGAAAGGAGGATGATTTTACAGTTTTGACTGAGTGGTTTCATGTGAGACCATGACAAGTTTTATAGCGATAGATGAAATAGTAACAAATAAACTCACATCAATTCTATTTAAGAGAAAAGCCAGTTTGTATCTCCAAGGAAGTGTCCTTTCTTACCTGGGGTTTGAATATTTCTGAATGGTCTTTGTTCCAAGGCAGTATGTAAGATCATAACTGATTCCATTTCATGCCAATTAAGCATTTGCTTTAGGAGTAAAAGCACAAAGGCAACATTTGTGCATCATTGCACCATGCAACGTTCAACCAGCTTGCTGAGGAACAAGACCAGAAGTTCTCAAGCCATGTTGGTCTTGGCCATACTGGGCTATTTTAGAGTGGTCCCTTGGGACAGATCCTGCCCATTTGTGTGAAGACACCAAGTGTAAAGAGAAATGGAGAAATACTGAGGGACTGGGGCTCATTCAGCCTGTGGAAAAAAGTTACCTACAAGGAGGTTATCAAAAGGACAGAGTTGAGGTCTTCACGGAGGTGTGTGGCAGGACGATGAGAGAACAACAGACAGAAGCTCAAATGACAAATTCAGACTGGATAAAAAGAAAATCTTTTTCTCATTGAGGACAGGTCTGCTGGGACTGCAGCACTAGTGGTGATTCCCAAGGCTGCTCTTTGCACTGCATGGGTACCTAAGGAGGCTGAGGCTTCAAGCTGTTGACTTAAAACATATTTTCAGTCTGAAAATTGTCCCCCTAAGAAGCAATATCTGAAAGTCATATGATGTTAATTTCACTTGTTTATTATCACCATTAAATGCCACACAGCTGGTGGATATTACATATATTTTTATGCTGTAAATGAAATGCCACTTTATATTCACCTCTGCTAGGACAGCTACAGTTTAAGCAATTTTCCACTGGATCTGAAATGCCCTTTGGAAAAGCAGCCTGTGAAGCTGGCTGTCAAATAATGTGAGCACCAAGGCAGCCATAAAATTATACTGTAAGTTGAGTGCATAAACCAGCAAAGCTGTTTAAATCCAGACAACCAGAGGCCTGGTGGACCAGCTGGTGATTCGCAGACTGTACTTTGACAATGCTGACTTCTGATCCAGAATGGCTTTAGTGCCTGACATGTTCTTCTTAAACCTGGAAGAAAAGCTGGCTTAATGCTCCTGTATGTAAACAATTTCCCTTTGACCAAAAACTACACTCCATATGGTGCAATTATTTGCTTGCTACAGAAGAGACAGAGTTTAAATAAAGCAGCTTTCAAGCACTGACTAAAACTTAATTCTATTACCAGTATACAATACACACCTAATAAATTTGCTTCCTATGGTTAAAAGCAGTTTTTACCATGATTGTCCATATTCTGAATATAAACTCGAATTCCTTATCATGCCATAACATGTATGGACACTGATAGTTTGTGTCTGCTGCATTTGTTTCAGTTGATTGTACACTTCAGTTCATATGCTTCAAAGGACTCAATCTGTCACAGCTGATTTTGTCCTTTAGATAGCTTTTCTAAAGGATTTTTAACTAAATGGATCCACATGCAGATATATGGCCATTATATGGCCTTTTTTTTATCCTTTCTAATCCCTTTCAGGACTTTGACAATCATATTTTCTATAACTTTTAGTTAATAATTCTGTTCTGAAGAGTTGGCATGAGTCTAAATTTAGGCTCCTGCACATATCAGCTGGGAATTCTGCAGCATACGGCAGCCTAAGGAATATCATTTGCATGAGAGTAGATGAATAAAGTGTTTGCTGGTTTTAACTTCATATTGATTAATTTGCCTTGGGATTTATCAAGCAATAACAGAAGCAATGAATTCTTTCCCAGTAAGTTATTTAGGTTTTAAAATTAATTTAGATTTTTACTGTAATGTGTTTTTATTATATTAGTGTCTAACAATCTAATTTGTGTGAAGGACTCTATAAACATGTAGAATGAAGGAGTTTCAGCCCACAGAAGTTTTATTAAGGAAGGCAGACAAAAAGGAGTAGAGGAACAGAGGTGCAAAACTGTGATTTGTCAGTTTTGGTGGCAAAATAGGACTAGGACCTCTGATACTTGAGTACTGTCCTCATTCATTCATCCATTTGCTCATTAACTCCTCTGCAAATAATTTTGCATTCATATTTTCATATCCATTCACAGAAAATACTGTGTGCTCCATCCAGCTCAGCTGAACTCACTTGGTGCTGGGGACATTCAGCTCTTGCAGAGACTTGATTAGATATGTTCAAATGCATCATTATGTCCAAATCTATGTTGGACATGAGGTAGTCACTGGTAGTATAGGACACGAATTTGAAACAACTGCTGTTAAGGACAACCCAAAGGACTTCAGGTCCAGTGTTGATACGGTTTTCACTCTCTATATATGTGTATATTATTAATTTGAATTTTTCTTTGTAAAAGCACTATTCTTTCTTCTCCTAAGAGCACCTTCTTCCTCCCAACAAAGTCATTTCTGCAGGCTGTAAGGTCACTTTGCTTCTTGTTTCTCTTCTGCAGGCTTGCTGTATGTTGGCTTTAGTGCCTGTATGTTTGGCCTCTACAGCTTTATGCCAGTGGTCATAAAGAAAACCAGTGCTACTGCTGTCAACCTCTCCCTGCTCACAGCTGACCTGTACAGCCTCTTCTGTGGATTATTCCTCTTCCACTACAAGGTATGTGGAAATGAGAGATGTATTTGGGTAATAGCAGTGTGCTTGAAGAGACGTCAATGCAGAACAAGGAAACAAAAGAAGCCTCCAAACTTTTCTAGATCTAAACAATACAAGTGCAAGTTGATTTTTTTACTTCAGGCTTCCTACACTAAAACTAATTTTATTTTATGATTTCTTTTTTTCTAAGAGAGCTCGTTTAGTCTTTTTGTTACAAGTTTTAAGATTTGAGTACTTGTTCATCAGCCACCGTATCATTAATTTCATCTTAATTATCAAAGGTTACTTTCAACTGCTGTGAACAGACCTAAGGTGGCAGCATGAAGGGAAGGACTCTTCCAAAATTCCCACATATATTTTTTGCCTGGGAACAAGGTTGTTTCATTCATACTGACTCTGAATTTATAATTAAATTATTCCTAAATTAAACCTTTCTCTTGGCCGTACCAGTGGCTTGCCTCTTATTATAAATGCCAAAATGTGCAGCATATTTTTATTGAAGTTAAACTTCGACCTCCAAGATCCCCTAATATTTAAAACACCATGTTGTACAGGACTAAATTTGACCTTCAGTTACGAGGAATGGCACTTCATTATTCACAAGTATCCCCCCCAGTGTCCATCCTGTGAAAATAACATTGCAGTGCTGGAAGCAATTGCTTTCTACCATCATTTATTCATAGGAGGGAGGCTACTTGATAGCGAAATTATGTTAGAAGTGTTAGGCAAAAGAAAGTCTTAAAATTCTGAGTGTGTAATCAACTCAAATCAGATTTTGTTACAGTAATAGTACCTGAATGAATCTGAATGAGACAGTGAAAGTTCAAATCTTCAGAGTCCAACACAAAATTATTTGTCACTACTGTCTTTTATTTTGGTTTTGTAGCTTTGAGAATTTTGCAGGCAGAAGAAAAGCAAGAATAGAAACAAAAATTTGACTGAAAACACAATGTAGAGGTTGCCTGCTGCTTTGCAGCTCTGTCTCATGGTGATATTGTTTCTCCTTTCTGCCTCACGCTCCAAACCTGAAGTGTTTAACATTAGGTGTTACCTGAAAACTGTTCTCTCCTGCTAGTAATATTATTTGATACCTGCAGACAAATATATTTAGTGGTGTTAGTCCACTGTTTCTAAGAAAAATTACTAAAAGATAAATGTTATTCTGAAAACAGTGGTGGTGGTGTATTAGCAAAATCAAACTTCACTAGAGGGAAAGACACAAAAGGCAGCAGAGGTTGGGCAGCTCTGTGCTCAGCATTGCTCAAACCTAACAAAAAAGGCAATTTTGCAAACACAAACTTTAAAGCTAAGATACTTGAAAGGCAAAAGGTTTTTACATTAAAGGTTTCATTTCTTCCCTGTGTCTAATTGTTGGATGCATTAGCAGAGCCAGAAGGGCAGAATTTTCAGCTTTACTGACCCTCATCTTTCTACAGTAAGTGCATGTCAGCTCCCATCCATAATGGCATCTTGGTCTCCCTTCAAGACCTGTATGGAAAAAGTACTCAAGAGTGGAAGGCTCAGAACTGGTTTTTTGTTTGAAAGCATCCATCTCAACGTGTGTATTGGCTAACTGGTTGGGTTCCATATCTGAAGTAACTGATGGTCCCCTCTGCCCCTTGCTCTAATTTTTAGAAAACGGAAAATCTCATTCTGCTGTGGTTCCTGTGTGTATCATGCTGTTGCTTTCATAGACATTTATCAGACAGTTACTTAAACCTATTCAGATTTTTTACCTCCACTGCTGCCCTTGGAAGACTTTCCGAGCATCACTTCTCCAACAGTTACAAACCTCCTTATTTCCAGCATAAATTTACTTGTGCCTGGTGTTGGTCCATTCATCTTTCTACCAGGAGTATCTATTAGCATCTCCATGGCATTTTACTCCATTTGTAACATCTACTACCAGTAGAGAGGAATCATATTGTCTCTCAGCCCTTAGTTCACTGATCAGAGCAAGCCCTTCTCTGCACCTCATCTGGTTGGATTTCATCCTCCCTGAGACAGCCCCTTCAGCTCGAGGTCCTGGTTCCTCCAGCAGCTGGTGCAATGCTTTTTTACTCTGTTTCTCTAGTTACCCCATAGAGAAGTAAGCCAGCAAGCCAGCACTGACATTTTTCATCACTGCATTTCTTTTGTGTTTTATACTCATCCTGCAATTCATACAACTCGAGTGTCTCTCCTTTGTTCTTCCCAGCTGCAGTGTTGATAAGTAGAAGAGCTTTATCAGGGCTTTGTGAAAGGACCTTTACCCAAAATGTAGCATCAACTTCTCAAGCTGTCAGTGTCTCCTTTCACACCCTTCAAACTTACAGTGCAGACAAAAATTGAAGAGAGAAGTTACATGCAAAGATCGTGTAGATTTAAAAGTCCACTTAGTTATTTGGTTCTTCTTTAGTTACCATGTTTTTATCCATAGTCAGATGACCTCCTCCTTTTCTTTATGGTTTGCTATCAGGTATCATTTTACCTGAGGAAGCATAACTGTGAAATATGTGACTTGCACTCAATAATGAAGTCTAATATGTTGGCATGAAGTGATCTGAATTAATTCCCCTCCTAGGACTGTATAGACTTCTTTGTTTCCTAGCTTTTAAAGAGCTGTTTCGTTCCTAGCCCAGCTGTACATCTCCTGCAGCTCCTTCTGCTTTTTTTTCTGCACTGCCCAAAGGGCACAGCCCCACTTCACTGGGAAGCAAATGGTTTATGCTGTAGTAACTAAGTGGTTTATTGTCCCTTGCAGAATATAATTTTACGAGATTTTCAAGAAACAGTTGTGATTTTTCCCTGTGCTGCTACTTTTGTCACCAGACAGTTTTATTGTACCTATAGCAGTAGATCCATGGAAAATGCAGGAAATTAGTTTAACTGAGCTTTAGAGCTTTTGAAACCAAACTGAAGAGAAGATTGTCTTTGAAGTGTTTTGATTCATTAGCATTTCATTTTTATATTATACAGCCTTGCAAAATCATTGCATGCAGGACACGAGTGAGTTTATAAACAGCTGCATCTCTAGTCTTACCCCACATGCAGGCATCTTCCTAGCACACTGAACACTTCCCAGGTCCATGGAAGCTGGAAATTCAGCCTGTTAACTTGACACAATTCTGGTGATATATGTGTAATTCAAGATGTTAATTTTTCAAGATTTTATTGTATTAAAATGCAAAAATATATAGCTTTCAATTGGAGACAGATTACCTGATTGTAATGCATCATTCTTAAAAGTTCTTACATCCCCCTGCTGTCTTTTTAGTTCTTCTGTAATGAATAATTGATTTAAGATATTCCAGCAGATGTAGAAATGTGTCAGGCCTCTTTGGTAGCTGAATATCCATCACTGCCATAGCATTTAAGTATACAAAACCTATCTTCAATATTTGTTTTTAAATTATCATCATATTGATATGTGTTATACAATTTTTATGTTCAAAACTTTCCTAGCTGTCTGTTCTCATTTTACCACCTTCTTTAGCACAAGTAACAGGACTGTCCTTGGCCATTCTTTGTTATGGATACATGGACACCAGTGGTGCTAAAAATTCAGGGCCACCTCTCTGGGTGCACAGTTAGAACTTTTGTAGAAATACAGGACCATTTTTTCTTAGGAGTGTTCCTTTTTTACATTTTAGTCTCAGCCTTAGCTCTTTTGTTATGTGAACTTTTAGACTTATTACTTTTCCTTTGCAAGCTCTGTGTTGTCTTTAGTCTTTCTAAGCAAATTAGGTTCTCACTAAATAATCTAAGCAGTTTATTTTATATTTTCCAGCAGCTAGAGCATGAATACTGATTGTGTTCTGGACCAGCAGGTTGAGTCACATTATATTATATCATTACCTAGCAAGCCAAGCACAATCAATTATATTATGCCTTGGCAAATTCATTCATGACTTTATCCAAGAAGCAGCTATAAAAATTCAGAATTTCTGGATATAGTAGCAATTCCCAAATGAAGAAAATGCATGTATTTCATAATGAATCAGGGAAGTCATGTATCTTGATTTAGAACCTCGGAGAGTATCTGTGACAAAGGACTTGGATACACAGATAAATAGATACACATGATACTCAAAACCTTCCAGGACCAGATATCTGAAATTATTCTAGTTGAAACCTCATTTGCTGATACTTAGTGATGTTTCTAAAAATTACTCTCCAATGCTAATTCTAACAGTATCCATCCAATGGAAGAAAGCAGATGACAGTCTTCCCATTACATCAAGAAACAAGCCATGAAGACCGGGGTGTTTCTGGATGGAGAAGAGAGGGTGAAGGTTGGGGGAAGGGGGTTCCAGGTTCTTTTTTGCCAGCACAGATCCTAAGCAATGCCTGTGAATTTGGGATTTACATAGTCTTTACTCTAGTGAAAACTTGACCCTTGCTAGAAATATGAATTGAAGCTGGTGTGAATTTTTCTGCTGTTTTTGGTGTGCTTCAGTTCATTTTACTAAACTAGGAAAGCCTGCCACTCAAGGAATAATCTTTTAAAAAATTCACAGTTTCATGACTTTACAGATGAAACCTTATTTTTTACCTTGACTCTATATGCTTCAGGCAGTCCTGGATTTTTGTGGGAGCAGGATGGGTACAAAGTCTGTGGTTTGATAGCAGGAGTTAAATAAAATTGGTTTGATTTGGGGGAGAATTGTTTATTACTTTGATTTTTATTTGGCAGCCATCCATAAACATCTGAGAGACTTTTCCCAAACCTCTGACATAACTGAGAAAATATTTCAGTGTATGTTCTCACCTTTTTTTTTTAAACTTCCCTGAAAGTATAAGTTGAGGTCAGTAAGACCCTATTCTTTTCTTGTACTTGTTAGGGAGCTAACACCTACCTATTTTAAACTTTGACAGTGCTGCTGTCAGTGGTGCTGTCAGTGGTGCATCATTATTTCTAGTGAAGCAGGCAGTGCAGGCTAAAAACTGTTTTTGACATTATAACTTTCTCAGTCATATACTTAAAAGTATTTTCCTGATGAAATTGGGTATGCAAGATGCTT